CCTCTTTGGGCAAAATCATCAACGTATACCAACTGATCAGGTGGTGGTGCGTATATAACGCCATAACCTCTCCCCATACCCAATATACATATACTATACGCGTATATAATGCCATCTGGTCATAGGTCACTATACATGTATAAATAAATGCAATGCATAATGAAGTAAGTCGATAAGATCTCTCGGAATGTCATGAGACACATGAATAGACAATATGGTAGTAGTACATATGGGGAATCAAGAACATAGGCTACCCTAGTACTTCTAAGAATAGAATCATTTATGAAAGTTGCGTGCTTGCTCGTTTCGTAGTATCATATGGATCATGCCAAAAGGAAAGAAGAAATAGCTTTAACATACCTTAACTTTGTTGAGTCCTTAATACCTTCCAAGCAATTCTTCAAACAACCCAACTCAATCTACCATAGCATAAGGAGATTCAAAATCAGTGCTGAGTAAAGGCTAAGTCTGCAACTTAAACTAGCTCGTTTATGTAAATTTAGGCAATATCTCCCCTGTAACAAGGGACTCCACCTTATGCCAACAACAACAACCAGAGAAATCCAGCAACATATCAATATCAATAACAAGACACCATATAGCAACGACAAGTCACAACTACTTCATGACGAGTGGCAAGCTCCGATTGGAATCCGTATACCCCATATCACCCCTTATAGACTTCTTACTTCAACTTAACGGTATCATTAACATGATAATGAAGTCATTCATCAATGATTCCATCCTTATACCATATATTTATAACAATGAAAACAATCCACAACTCCAATTATCCTCAATTAGCAACTTCATTCACTAGTTCATGTCTAGTCCATCCATTTAACTTAATAAACATCAAGATAACCTTAAGCACATGCAAGAACACAATATACATACCTCCTACAGTAGCTTCAAGTTAAAATCCAAGTTATATTTAGCTTACAACAACTCTCAATGGCAATACAACACCATAGAAGTGACTTAAGCTAATCCTAGTATTATCTTGTAGTTTATCATCCTAACAACTTAACCAACATATAAGCAAGCTTAAGAATAATTAGTAGGCTGTTATACTCACCTTCGCCAGTAGCAACAACTTGAAATTTCAGCCAAACACAGCTCACAATTATCCTCAATGACAACACAACCTCAAAGAGGTGTTGTTCTTCACTAGAACTAACTTTTGATGTTGAAATATGGTGTAATCACTTCAAATTCTTATGGTATCTATTTAGGAGGGTTAGGAGAAATGAAGTTGACTCAAAAAAGAGTAGAAAATAGGCGTCCAAATCATTTTTAAAGTGAAGTAGGTCGAGCACCGCCTAAGTGGGTCCCATGGGAGCTACTTGTGCAGTCTCGCAAAAATGTGAATATATATCTAATACAACGTTGTATTGACAAACGGTTTAATGTGTTGGAAACTAGACTCATAGATCTTCAATTTGGTAGGTATATCATCCAATAATTCCAAGTATATTGGGAGAAAAGCTCAGCTACATTTGACCTAATTTTGAGCACATTATGAATGTAACTTGTGATGACCTTTGCCAACTTTTGCTCCACAACTTGATTGACTTCAAAACGTAGCACACGACATTCATACGACTAAAATAGCTCATAGAATAACCTCCTTATCATGTTAAGAACCCTAGTCTTACCCCAAAGTACATGTTATAACATTCAAACTTGTCGACTTTCGACGAAACTTATTTTCTTCAGTTGGTTTAGCTTCTAAGCTTTCTAACCCTCTTGGTACTCGTTATTCATGATCTTAAATATTTTTAACCTCCAAGGTAACGTGATTAACTTACTTTATATGCTTCCAAATATAATCTTATTTCTGAGCTTACATCAATTGACTTACGACGCACTCTCACGTACAAAAACATGGGGTGTAACATCCTCCCTCTACAAGGGACCTATCAATCATTCCAGCCATGCCTTCCCTTCTCCCGAGTGATTTAGAAGGTTAACCCCCCACCGACACATTAGTCAAAACTAGGCGAACACCAGCGCTCGTCAGAGAACTGGTAAGGGAGGGCATAGAATAGAAAGGTGCAATAGATGAAGGAGGAGAGGTCTCTTGGAGGGCTTGGCCACAACTATCCCTTTTCCTCGGTCCAAGGAAGAGGGTTCTCCTCTTGCTGACTCCAAAGCAGGGGACTCCAGACCCTGGTCCCCGATAATGTTTTTCGCTGACTCAGAGCCGTAATCCTACCCCTAGTCCTTTAACACAATGCGGGTGGTGTATCGAGGATGCTCGGATCAGGGGATAGCTCAGGGAAAACCCTGGACACAGTCAGGATCTATCAAAAAATTCAACCTTGTTCTTTTTTTAGAAAGACCCGTCGAAATAGAAACTGGAAGGTCTGCTATTCTTTTCAAGGGAGAAAGTCGTCTTACCCTTTTTAGGGCATAGTCAATGGAAGAGGGAAGCCTTATCAACACTTGCAGAGCAGCCTTCCTTAGAGATATGCCTATAAAGGAACATGCAAAAAAGGTGTCACAATAAGAAGCCCGAAGACTTGAAATGCAGTTGGTATGGACACTTACCATGATCCTTGGCTCGCCACTCTGAGACCTCAGATATAAATCTCTAGGATCTCTCAGTTATCGGAGAGGACGCCAAAATCTTTTTGACCCACTCATTGATGTTCGGAATACCTTTCGGAGCTACCAACATGCCAGCCGAGAGAGGAGAAGCAAGACCAAAGCAATGACAGATAAGAAAATAGGGAGGGTAAAATAAGAAATGCTAATGTAATCAAAGGAAAGTATACTTACGTCTATCATTCCACGTCTCCGAAATAGTCCTGTCTTCGAGCTTGACCAACTCATGAATGGGGACTACAACGAAAGTATCAAATCACCCCCTATCGTGGTCATCCTCGGCATCCACGAGGATCCGAGTACATCCACTAGCCATTGAATACTTCTCCCCTTAGGCGACTTGGAAGCAAATAGATATAGAAGGAGAGAGAAAGAGAGAGAGAGAGAGAGAGAGAGAGAGAGAGAGAGAGAGAGAGTAGAGAGAGATGAGTTGTAACGGAACATCGACTACATTTACCAAGAAACAGAAGCACGCCACAAGCCTCCATACATTCAACCCAACTTGGCCCAAGCACACGTTGAAATAACGACAAAAGTCAAAGATTACAGGATCTATCGAGGGTTCGAACCCAAAGGTGAACAGACAAGTATAGACGAAAGAGAATCCTGGCATGTGGCTGGAAATTCTTTTGGTCTCTTGAGGAACGTGAATGACGACGTGATCACCACATCGACAATCATAAAGGATTAGGGGAACATGTTTTTTACGGACAAGGGCATTTATATTTTCAACATGTGAACTCCCGCATTACACTGTCGCCTTGTTCCACCCTTCAGTTACTCCCTCATAATCCCAACTTTTGGGAAGAACCTCCAAGACTGTGGGCTCAGAGGTCTGCTTCCCTCCTGGTGGAAGTCGAGAAGCACCTCTGGCCAAAGGCGTGAAGGGGTGATCATCCATTGAAGGAAAGCCAAAACCTTGGGAATCCGAGTTACAAAAAAGGGGTTGAAAAATGAAAAGTTCATTGGAAGTTAAGGGAAGCAAGAAAGACAGAGAAGAAGATCAGAGAAGGAATTTTGAGTTGATTGGGAGGCCCACAACCCGATATAGATAGGCGGGAGAATCCTCCTCCTGTAACCGCCAAAATCGGGAAAGGTTCCCTATCATAAGTAGTCATCATTGCCTAGGAACTATAACAAATGGGAAGACCAACTGGAAACAGCCATGTGTCCTAGCGTATTAAGTATGGACAGCACATGAGTCGCATCAGTCCTAAAGATTTAGTTTTATTGAAACTCTTTCTTGCAAATGAATAATTCTTTGCAAGATTGATTCCTACCAAGGAAAGAAGACTATCACTTATCGAGCATTCGTCATCGAATCACCCGACAAGTGGGGGGGGGGGGGGACTGACTATGTGGGTAAAAATTACCCTCTCCACGTGGTGTGATGAAACAGTCCCACGTGGCAATTAAGATCTAGAAATCAAGTAATGGGACCCACTTCCAAGTTCGGAAGGTCTTGAGATTATGGTCATCGAAGGGTCGAGTATTCAAAAGATGGACAAATGAATTTGAAGACTCAGTCAACCTTATCCGGAGATCGTGGATATCAATGTTACATCGAAACGGAAGCCATTATCGAGGATCCCGCTCCCCACTACCTAATCCACTAGCGTGTTGGCTCGAAACTCGGAGTGGTAGCTGCCACAACGCTCCAAGGAGGGATCATCAAAAATTAAAAGGAAAACTCTCTCTGAAACAAAATATCATCTTGTGCTAGCATTTTCTTAACTAAGCTTTGTACTTCAATCATACTTGCTCGGGATTGGAAATAAACAAGATTTTTCTCCGTTGCATCGTTCTTTTTAATCTATTTCGTTATTAATTGTTTGTCTTTATTCATTGTGTGCAACCGTTTTGAATCAAACAAATTGCTAGTGGCCCTTGAAAAATACAAATTTACTTGTTTAATCTCAAAACCAGTTTTTGGGTAAAACAAGGTATAAGTTATTCCGGTATTATATTTGATTTTGAATAACTTATGTTAGAATTAATAACCAAATAATGGATAAAATGATACTAAATTTTCATCCCACCCTTATTTGTGCTATCTATCTTACCAAATGTCCCCAAATGTATTAGTTTCACTCTAAAGCCTGTTAAAACTACTCTTTTCGGTCCACACTAAGTGACCAATTTGCTTTTGGCACACCCATTAAAGAAATATTAAATTCTAGAAAAAAATAGTTAATGTGACTAAACTACCCTTAATTAAATGTTACAGCATAGTTATAGTAGCACTTACTTCTCTTTTCAAATGTGAGGAGTAAATGACTTTTTAGGGATACGTACATAGGGTAATTTTGGAAAATAAATTGAATTTTTTCTTGATTACATAAATAGACACTTATTTTGGACCAAAAACGAAAAGGAAATTACTAACATTTTGGTCATTTTCTGTCAAACCGTAGGAAAGAAAAGAAACGAAGAGAGGGAGGAGAGGAAGAAAAGTTGGGGAGTGTTAAACCACATTTTCATTGAAAAAGAAAACAGCGAGAGCTGTCCTCCTACTACACCCTTGCATTTTTGCACTCAACTGTTTCCTCCTCAAGAAAAGTTGTATGGTGTTCATCGGCCAATAATAGTCATTTCTCATTAGGGTTTTGCTTTAGAACGAGTTGGATCAATCCATCCGTCAATTGACTGACAATTGACTGTGTGATGTTCACTCACGAAAGAAAGGTGTGGGCGGCGGTACCCGTAACGCCGGCAAGAAACGGTAAGGGCAAGGCAGTGGCTTTTGCGGATGACCACGTTCCTCCTCCTGTGGGGCTCTTGAGTGAGAATGCTCAAAGGAATTTGGGAGATACGGAAAACATTGACGATTGGAGGAGATTCAAGGAAGTTGGATTGCTAGACGAGGCTGCAATGGAAGGCCGCGACCGCCAAGCCCTGCTCCTAAAGATTGCCAAGCTTGAAAAAGAGGTAAAACAACTAAACTTATGGTGTATTTATTGGTTTGGAATGTGAAATAAGTATATTTCCTTCTTTCACAACTCTACTGGTGGATTGAATTTTTACCCTAATTGTTTGCTTTTATGGGCAGCTTTTTGATTATCAGTATAATATGGGGCTTCTATTGATTGAGAAAACTGAATGGACATCCAAGTATGATGAACTTAGAGAAGAACTTGCAGAACTACATGAATCTCTCAAACGTGAGCAGTCTGCTCATTTGATTTCCATTGCGGAAGTTGAAAAGAGAGAAGAAAATTTGAGAAATGCTTTGGCTTCTAAGAAGCAATGTATGGTTGATGTAAGATCTTTAATTCTCTCGTACCTATTCTTCCTTTGCGCTATTTGTATTTTCAAATATTTTAACAGCTTCATATTTCTTTTGCCTTTTGTCAGAATGTAATTTGACTGTAATTCTTAACATACCCAACCATGTACCTTTATTCTTGTTGATTTTATCCTGTTTGTTTAACAGAATATATGAATACTTTGTGCAAAACCAAATTTTTGGTGGCATTTCGTTGTAATTTTGCTTTAGTTTTTGAAGTGTATTACTTTGTTTTTGAAAACCAAAGTAAGTATGTTCTGAAGACTGAGTTTGAGTTGGTTTATGCTTTTAGGAACCAAGACACTTTTCTTTAGGGGAAACTAGTTTTACTTTGTCTGCAATTTGTGATATTGAACTAGGGAAAACAATGCTTATAACCAAATTTTCCTACTTATGAGACTGGAATGTGTTTCTGCATTTGGATTCCAAGTCTGGTAATATTTGCCAACATAATTCAGAAGTTTCTCATGATAGCAGTTAGTTTATGCAGAACATGATCTTTTGCAGTCTCAACTCGCAGCAATTATCAATATAAATGTAATTTATGGTACATTAACATGTTGCAATCATGACCCAACAATGTTTTGGTTGCTCAACACACGAAGTCACTGCCGTATAATTCTGTCTTATCTGATATTTCAATATGCTATATTGTAGGCTGTGAAACTTGCGCTACTATGCTATCCCGATTCATCTTTTATTTAGAGAAGGCCTATCTATAATTGTTGGTTAACATTGAAATAGTTTTGCATTAAGTTCAGTATCCTTTAAATTTAATGAAAAAGGAAACACGAAGGAGAGGCCTTTTGTGTTCCTATGGCGGTTGGTTTTGATAGCTTTCTTTGCCCCAACTTGGCGAATCGCATCTTCGCACAACGATATTCTTTTTTCTGTGCTCCTTACTGTTCTCGCATTCAACAGTTGGGGAGGCAGTGGTAGAAACGAAGCCGCAGACTCTCAAATACGAGATTGGGCACCTCACTTTGGTTAAGCTCTTGATGATGCCTACATTGACTTTCTTTAGAAGGCACATCAATGGCTTTTTCAAAGATCCGGAGCATATAAATAACTAATTCTAAAACTTTTAGGCTTCTTATTTCAACCGAGGCTACTTGTGGAGATGTCTGCTTACTTGCTTGATGCTGAAGGAACTCATTATATTCCCCTTTAGATAAAGAAAATCCCTGGTTACCTGTAGTCTCGGTCTGAGTAAGAGTAACATGAGCGTTTTTGGGTGGTCGACCATGTAAAGTATAGCACAATTCACGAGTATGTCCAAGTTTATTACAATAAGAACACTTGGGTCGAGATCTCCCAAAATGACCTCCTGAGATGTCCGATTTTCCATTGTCTGAGATGCGAGAATAGAGGAGTCAACAGTTGTTGGTGAGACCACTGTGTGACTGGGTGGCTTAGCAAGACGAAGCAATCGAGAGAATAGTTCATCAACTGTAGGAATTGAAGGACTAGCCAAAATTTGGTCTCTCACCGAGTCAAGGTCATTTGGCAGTCCAACAAGTGTAAGAACTAGAAACATCTTCTATCGCTGCTCTTGTTGTTTTTCAACACTGGCTCTGACTGGCATCAACTTCTCAAATTCCTCTATAATTGCCTGCACCTGTCCCAAGTAGGTTGATCAGTGTTTTTGAGAGTGAGAAGCGCAAAAAAGCGATAGGGACTTGCCTCGCTTCAAAAGCGAAGTGCACGCTTCATTGAAGTGAAGCGCAATTCTTAAAAAACATAATACAAACCTTGCAAAGAGACAATATAAATAATCAAAAGGTTTGATTTAAAAACTTAAAAGTAGGTACTACAAAATCCTCCATAAACCATAGGACAAGCAAAATCAAAACCACTAAATTACTAGAAACAACATCTTATTCTTCTACTCTTCTCGTTGTCAAAATCTTGAATTCCTCTATTATCTTCATATTGCTCGTCATCTTTTTCTTCCCACCTCCTCTTCCTCTTTCTCTTCATGATCACTTTCATCTTCATCAATTAGGGATAGGGATCGACTTGTAGTAGCCACACTTTTTTCCTTCCTATTCGAGCTTGAACTTGAAGTATTCCCCTTTAAACCATAAGGGTTCTCCCCAACTCCACTAGCATCCGCAACATCACCCCAAGTGAAATTAGAGTCGCCTTCAAATGCTTCTTCATCTTCACAATTTTCGAGGACTCGGGTTAGCCACTCTTTAGCCTCATCAATATTGTCCAAAAGAATTGGATCAATTAGATTGTGGTGGTTATAGCGATGCCTCAATGCTCTATTGTATTTTATGAACACTAGATTATGGAGGCGCTTCAAGGTTAGTTGATTCCTCTTCTTTTTATGAATCTGCAAACAAGATGTGTCAACTAATTAGTAGGAGTTAGAACAATTGAGATATAATTTACTTTATCTCAAAACACGAAATCGTTCTTTTTAGTTCTCACATGTTCAAAAATGCTCCAGTTCCTTTCACATCCAGATGAACTACAAGTTAAACTTAGAACTTTGATGGTGAAAGTCTGTAAATCCGGAGTCTTTGCACCATATTGGTCCCACCACTCAACTATAGAAGTGAAAAAAAATATTCAAGAGTTAATAAGTATAAAAAATACATTAAAAGTTAGAGCTATAAAATATACAAACACTCGATCACCTGGCGACTTCGTCTTTCTTTGTTTAATAGCCTGTCGCAACTTAAAAACTCCTTCACCTGCCTTGTAAATAGCAAATTGATCTACTATCTTTTCTTGCAAGTCTTCATTTGGAGTCAACTTAATAACACACTCATGGAATCCTTTCCACACTTCTTTAGCTAGTGAATTATTCTCATACTGATCATAAAGGAGTGACGGTTTCAGAATAAGTCCAGCTGCATGCAAAGGTCGATGAAGCTGCTCCGTCCATCTTGAATCAATGATCTGAAAGACCTTTGCATATTTCTGCTCATTAGTGAATGATGCTTGAATAGCCTCCTTGACCCTATCCATAGCTTCATAGAGGTAGCCCATTGGTGGTTTTTGTTCCCCATCCACCAAACGGAGTACTCTACCTGGTAGACACATCCAATTTCTATTTCATTACATCTATGATATCACATCATAAAAACAAGATATATCATTAGTGTATAAAGTACGAGCCTTCTCCCAAACTAAATAACTTGTCTGGAATCAATCGATCGCCACAACAAACTATGTAATTGAGCATCAATTTTCTTCTAGAGTGCTTTGGCCTTTTTATCTCCATCACTAGTCTTCTTGGATAAATGATCTTGAACACCTTGACCTTGCACCACAACTCAACGGAAGAAGCCCAGGCTAAGTAGTTTGAACTTCCCATTATGGGTTCCGAAGCAATCATCAAACTTGAATTTCCAGATGTCGTGCTTATAGATACAAAAACATCAAGTTCCAAAGACATTGTTGGACCAAATAGCACAAACAATCAAGAACAATAAAAAGCTCACAGGAACAATGAAGAAAAAACACTTTATATCGTCGGAAACTGAACAGTCGCCGAAAATTTTGTCGAAAATAAAAAGGTCATCGGAATTTGATGTAACTTGGAGGGATATAAGAATAGCCTCGCAAGCAAGCTGTCCAAAAGAAGTTTTGCAAGAAACTGGCCGGAGGGCAGCTCATGTCCCGGCACGTGAGGAGATCTCGCCGGAATTTTTTCCCTTCTGGTCGGCGCGTGTTCGCGCGTGGGGGGAAGGGTATTTTCCGGCGGGGTTTGCTCACCGGAGGGTGTAGGACCCTGTGGTGGTGTTGGTTTTAGCACAACACTGAGGGAAACATAGATGACACAATAACAACCCTAGAAGTTGCCGAAAAGCGGAGTTTTCGTTCTCGATGTTTCTTACCAACGCTCTGATACCATGTGAGAAGTATAGCATGGAAAAGTTTTATTGATTATGTCTAAAGTGCTGGACAATGCCCTATTTATATACAATGATTACATAATAATAAGTATCTACTTCCCTATGTGGACATTATACATTACTAACTATTTAACAATACCCGAATTTCAAATCCTGCCATTCTTTCTCGGATGAAGGGAGTGCATGCTGGAGTTGGTGTTGAAAGTATTAAATTACTTGTGCAATGTATCCATAAGTTTATTAGTAGCAATTCCTAGATATTTTAAAAGTCAGTGAAATTATCATAAAGAAATTATTATTTAGCCTTTAGCCTTTTGAGATGTATAGAGTATTGAAATATTATGGACCCGTAGTATTTATTTTTGATAATCAGGGATTCATACAACGTCCTCAACTTGCTTGGGATTGAGGGTAGTAGTTGTTGTTAGCCTATGAGATCTTGCTTTGACTTCATATAGTCCTTCATTCTAGTTCCATGAACAGCAATTTTCTTTTAGGGGCAACTAAGATTTGATTTTTGAGAAAAATTGTGTATACTCTATTACGATTAACACATGAGAAAGGTAATTTTTTTTTTTTGAGAATGGTAACATATTATATAATCGTAGCACAAAGGCTGCTAAGGCCATATATACATATATCAAAAAGAGAAAACCACGGCTATCTTCTATCTCCTACTATAGTGATCCTATGATGTCTATCATTGAATCTATATCCTGTACAAAATCTTCCTTGCACCAAAAGTGAAACAAAAATAGGCAGTTCATCTTGAGCTTCTGTAAGGAGTTGTTGTGTCCTTCAAAACATCTACTGTTTCTTTCCATCCAAATGGTCCACCATATACACCCCGGGATAGTCTTCCACCACTTTTTTTTGTTTGATCAGGTCTCCAGAGAAATTCCAGCAAGCAAGTAGCTCCCTTGTACTCCTGGGCATGGCCCATGGCAGTCTTTTCATACTCAAAAATAGGTGTCACAGAGCTCTAGCAAACTGACAGTGTAAGAATAAATGGCTACTACTTTCAGCCTCATTTCCACATAGATAGCACCTTGAACACAATGGCATGCCTCTTCTCATTAGATTGTCTTGTGTTAGACAAGC